CTTGCGAGAGGTGAGTCTGAGTAATACAACCTTATTGATGAGGATAATAGCTGTAGTTCGTGTACTAGGGATCAGAAAACACTATATTGAAGTATTTTGTCATTTGCTCACTGGAAATAATTTTGTCAGCCATCATACTAGGGTTAGTCATTTATAATCAGTGACATTTTTTTACATACTCATAAGTGAATTTTTTTAGTATACAGGGCGTTTTTTCCCCTTTTTTTATTATTGAAATACGGGTTAAATTGTTTCTTTGAAAACTACGCATTGTACAGGGAAAAAAAGTTGATGTCGTCGTGGTATGTTCCAAAGTGTCCATATGGAAAAATTATTAGCGTTCCGTATATTTCGGTAAGTAATTACATTCTAGTAATTAAATTTTAATTTTTAACATTAAATGGTACGGTTTCACTTACAAACTTAATGCGAATCACTAGAAGTTATTAAATACACCCGTTTTACAATAATATAAGGCACCGGAAGCATTTTCCATTTCCTGAAAATTGCTCAATTGGGATGCGTTTCTATATGTTTCGGTTTCTTATCGGAGCGGATCTCAGCGCCAGAACTCACGCCCCCGTGGCCAAGAAGCAGAACGTGCATGCACCGTCACGCATCGCACGTAGAGGTGCTTCTTCATGCCGGCACCGACGTCAAAAAGGCGAACCTCATGTGGTAGTCCGGAGGCTTTCTCATCTCGCCTCTCTTTCGAGCGATGCGTGGCGCGGCGCAAGTACGATGTACGTTTTGGTCACGGACGGCAGGATTTCTGTTGCGAAGATTTTAGGAACGCCGCAAAATGCTGCGCGTACCCTATGTCATTGTAATATGGGTGCGTTTAATAGTTGTTGATGACTCGCCTCAGGTTTCCAATTAAAAGCACCTTTAAGTATAATAAATAAAAGCTCAACTACTAAACGTGTAATTAATTATCGAATTATATTGAACGCTCATAATTTACCTTAATGGGTCCTTTGGCACAGACCACTACGGCATGAACCTTTTTTCTGAGATGCGCTGTTTTCGCACGAAAGATTTGACCCGCGTTTTCAAAAACAACTTGTACATGCATGCGTTAAAAAAAATACGCATTTCACAGCTAAACTATGCTTTACAGTGTATGTCTCTGATTGTTTTCCTTCGAGTTTTATCGATCATTAGTTGATAAATAATGAACTGCAAGCAGTTTAATAATGAACAACTGGAGAGGATTCTTTGTGCGCACCCTAAGTTGGCTGCAGCTTCTACAGAATGTAACTTCGTTTGATCGAAAGTACAGAGCGCTCTTTTCTCGCGTGTACATCTTTATTTAATATTAGATTTTCACCTTAGGTATCAAAGTTTGTCTTGCAGATTTATAGATTTGAAATATTACAAGACTAGATAATTTTTTATTATTATTTTTGCACCTGTAGACGCCTTAACAATGCGCCTATAATCAGACAACAAAGAAGTTTAAATTCGTTTTATATTGAATAATGAATATGAAATATCTGAGTTAGTTACCGAATAACGCTCGTTATAAAACAAGGCCCTTGCAAAGTGGAGCGCGTAGGTGAAACGGTTGCAAATGAGCGAATATATACACGAAGTGCAAACGCAGACGACACAGGTATGTATTTTATATTAGTATTTTGTCTATATATTTGTTATATCTATAAGATCCTTGTTACGTATTATACATGAGCATATTTGGTACTGCACTCAGAAACAACTTTAACTGTTTTTACCTGTGTCGTGAGGAAGTCAGCTTAGTAATTAATTCGTTTCGCGCTAGAAAAGCAGGCCACAAATCCGATACAGGTATCAAAGGCGAGTGTAGGTGCTGTTTCTTTGGCGTTGAACTCCTCGCTAAGTATGTATCGATTGAGGACGGTACGTTATTTACCGACAATTTAATATGTCAGTATTCAAAAAACTCCACCCCATTCACGCATACTGCTAAGAATGAAGAATGCGTGGTACATAAAAATAATGACTGGGGCGTGTAACGCGCAAAACTTATTGATATTGCCTCTTCGGCGACTTGCAATTCCTTCTTAAGGATCATTGAGCTTCTACGATTCTAAGGCGAGCCCAATACGTCCCAGAAATCTGGGCTCGAATGATATTTTGTAAATGCTGGCCACGACGTACGTTATAGTTCCAGTATTGCGGTGAATCACGCTCTGCGACATCGTTGAGTGCATTTCGGTTTGCTTGTACGAGTTCCGTTCGTGCTACTTTGTTTCGTAAATAACCCACCGTATTTTTTCCTTTTCTTTTTTCTTCAACAGGGGATCTATACGCGTTTTTTTACGTCGATTGTTTATGGTTTAATGATCATTCTTCGAGCGCCTGATTTTTTGTTTTTTTCTTCATCCCGAATATGATATAGATTTTTATCCTTTAAAAATAACATAATTACAACGTGCACCGTTAAATTTGTCCGTGTTTTTTTTTTTGTTTCTTTTTAGAGAGAACGTTCTGTACAGTAAAATGTATTGTTTGTTTGTTTGTTTTGTATTTTGTAACAAACAGAAAAAAATAGCGCGGTACCGTCTTGTTTACCGTATTAATGAATTCGACGTAACGTTGAATCTAGACTTGGATTCTTCAGCTTACTAGAATGCTGCTATCTTTTTTTTCTTTTGAGTTATAGTTTTTTCCGTGCATTCTAAGTTATAACGGTGATCTACGAGACCCAATCCATGCTTTGTTTCACGCGAATGGTCCGACCGCCGTCGACCTCACCATCCGCAGGAGCCGATCTTGGAGCGACAAAAATCGCCACGGCGCTCGTATCGGTCTTTGTTTGTCCGCTCTATAGTATCGGCTAAACCAATCACCACGTGCAGCGAATGCGCCCTCATCTCGCGCTCTCTTCTCTTTGTATGTGATTGGTTGAGCCCACAAAGACGACGAAAGTCATGACGATGCGCTTTCACTGCCGCTTTATTGGGTCTATCGGATGATATATATATATACCGTTCGGCTGCGGTATAGTACCTATATACTTATAGTAAAGCAGGTTACAGACGACGTTTCGCGAGTGAAATTTTAAGGCAACCACGGCAAGTAAAACAAACACAACGACGAAACTTTTTTTTTTTTTGCGCAATTAGAATGTCGAAGGACGCGCTTACTAATTTGACCTCGTATAGATCGGTGCACGGATGATTGTATTCCGTCACACTATCAGATTGTAAGATTGGAAGAGAGCATTGCGATTGTGAGACGAAAATGACAACTACTACAAAAAGAAAAAAAAAAAACGGACAATTACCTGTGCCTGTTAAAGCGCCGCGCACTGCATTTACACGCTCGAAGGAAGTGTCCATAACTTACATAAAGTTGCTTTCGCCCGTGTAAAAATTTTCAAGTGGAGAAACAGGCTAATAATAAAAGTGAATAACTGCAGAAACTGTCCTACCCAAAAATGAAACTGCTAACTTTGACCATAGTACCAATGGCGAAAAGTTTTATAACTAGATTTTTTACTTACTCCAGGTTGTTGAAGCGAAAATAATCACCCTATAATAATATGGTAGGTCTCGTTTAAAATTTGAAAGCGACGCCGGTAGAATTACCCCTTGTCGAAATACCGTAAAATGTACTAATTTTACTTTTATGCAACGCAAAATGCACTTGGAGTATTTCGGACTGCTCAAATATGTTTTCAACATATAGACTATTATTTTTATACTGCTTTAATGTACTTTCATTGGGCATTTTTTCGAGCTGTATGCTGCGCGAGTCTTTCTACTCTGGCAGCTGAGCTGCACATACTGAAAGGTTATTTTTAGTTTGCCTTTGTAAAATAGAAGTAGACCCTCAAAATTACTTTCCAAACTGTTTCATCAACGTTCAAAGGAGCATATTTTAGAATATTGCTTTTTGCCAATGCATTGCACTTGTCCTAGTTTATGCTTGTAATTACTAATATTTATAGCTTGTAGCCCTCATATATAAATACGATTACTTTGATCAAAAACGCATCTGGAAACGAAAAGCAAAACCTAGAGGTCTGCCCAACATCAGGTACTTGCTGCATTAACTACCTGTGCACTAAACAAACCTCAAAAGATACGAGTGATGACATGTTCTCTTGTAAAAACATTCTACTCTAGCTTATTAGATATGAGCAAGTAATAGATAAGCCGCCGCATTAAAAACAACATTGTTGATAGTTTTAAAAAGTATAGCGCTGTAAATAGCATGGCTTAAAATCTCAAGAATATGTAACGTATATAAGGATAACGGATAAGGATAAGGTTAAAGAGGAGAGGAGGAGGAGCGGGATGATGGAACGCTGATCCGCCTGAGCGTCCCTCTCGACCGCTTTTTTTTTATACCGTCCGTTATTTAGAACGTACATCGATTTAAAAAAAAAAAAAAAAAGCTCGGTAATATAATCGCCCGAATTGTTAATATGTTGTACGAATATGTTCAAGATATTATATTGTAAGTTTTGTACTTCCTATATTTGCTGCAAAAAAAAAAAACGTGTTTACTATTTACCTTTAGGATGATTTATTTAACCCGTAACACCATATTATAAAACGGAACACACGATGGATTAACAGAACGGGACGAAGTTTCATAATGCATGCTCCTTCTTAACTTGCCATTAACGTAATGAACCAATGCTCCTTAATATCTCAAAATAAAGTATAATGCATGTCACGGTCAAGAAGCTCTTAAAGTCATACTTTCCAGGACGCATGCAACTTATCTATGGCGAGGAAAAGTACTCTGACGTAAACATCTTGGATAATTCTGAGAAGTTCAATAAAAGTGTAGTACTCATGATTATTCGGTTGTTATACATTTTTCTTTTATCCGCTTATATGCATGCTCCTTCCTGAGGCCCGCCAGCTGTTTTGGGACACAAGGCATGAATTAGTTCAATAGTTGATTGAGAGTTTTAGCAAAATATGAGCACAGATTTGTTTTAAACTCCAAACTAAAAAAGAAACTTTCGCAGACAATCGTAAAGCGTGAGAGAAAGGGCTCACCTTCCCGACCGGAGAGCACATGACGCTGTGGCGTGAGGCGCACAAGAGCAGCAAGAGCGCACGCACGAGGGACATGGTCTCGGCCGCTTCCACCAACATGCTGGTTCTCCTCGCTCCGTTCACTCCGCGCGGCTGGCTCCCGAAAACGAAACTGACTTCCTCGCGGCCGACGGGTCCGGTGCTGATGTCGCTTTCGCTGTGCCGCTCGAAGCGCCCGCAAACGCGAAGCGGTCGACCCCCGAAACAACGGGCCTTCTTCCTCAAACTCCCAAGGCAAAGGGGACAACAGTCAGTGTCCCGGATGACGCCTCCACTTCTCAAGTTGGCTCGTGTTTCGTCACTATTTTTTGTTTTCTTTGTTTGTTTCCAGTCTCAAATCTTGAGCAAGCGAGCAAAGACTTGGTTTATCCGAGCAGCGATGGGGTGTTCCAAAACCTATTATATATATATATATATATATTTTTTTTTTTTTTTTTTGAGAGGCAGGGTTAGCTGGCGAGGGAAGGATAATCTTAGACTTTCCGCATAAAAGTATTTGTTCAAAAAGGGAGAAAAAGGGGCAAGATTAAAAATAAATAAATAAAAGAACAAGTGAAATCAAATAATTTAAACAAAAATTGCTTTCGCTGTTTGTCAAAGAGCAAAAACAAAAAGAAACGTCCCGCGTAGGATTTTTGACAGTCCGAGAAGCCCTGTTTAAGCAAAATGTGCTGTGCCGAGTGGGCGGTGACTGCTGCGGAGTTTCGAGTTTATCGAAGCAGCGTCGGAGACTTTGGTGCGATCGGAGACCCCACAGGACTTGGTCGGAGTCCGCGAACAGTCTGAAGCGCGCTGCCATAGGACGGCGTCTTAAAAGGGAGCCGGTGAGTGGCGCTCCGATCGTGTTTCCACACAACCCCACTCTCCTCCCGCCCACGGCGGAAACGTGCGAACGCAAAATGGGGAACGGAAAGGATAAGGGGAAAGAGGAGAGGAGGAGGAGCGGGATGATGGAACGCTGATCCGCCTGAGCGTCCCTCTCGACCGCTTTTTTTTATACCGAACGTTAGCCTCGTTGTTTGTTGCCCATCTGTCGTGCATGTGAAGAGGGCAATTGACGCCAAGTAGTGTTTCAAGAATACATTAGACTCTTCTTGAAGTTGAATAAGGCAGTTTGGTGTTTTTTTTTTGTTTTTTTTTTCCTTTTCAGGGATTCGCATTTTTAAACGCTATACTGGTTTCATATGTCTACTTTTTAAGAAAAAAGTAAATTTTTTTTTTTTTTTTGAACAAAGGAAAACACAGAAATGTGTGCAGCTGAGAAATGACTACTAGACCCTTTAAAAAAAGGCGCCTTTGGTATCTCGCGCAAAAGAGCTAGAATCCCATCTATACCGATACGCAAAGCGTTGCTTGTATTTTTGTTACTTTTTTCGGCATTATTATTTGTTAGTTTGTTTCTTCTGTACAGCAGGACCGAGTAACATATTTTCGTTACTTTAGTTCTAGGTAGCGGGTGACGTTAAGTAGTTATTTTGTTTAGGGACGTTTACTACGCTAAACCTGTCTTTACCCCATTTTCTGCTGCGTTTTTGAACCGTGTTAAAAGCAATCTAAAGAGGAGCGCGCAAAGTTTAGCCAAGCTTATCACAAAAAATTTATAACCTGATCCGAACTTAATAGTGTTTTCTCGAATGTACTCAAAAAAATTTCTAAAAATTAATCCTTTCGACAATTGTTCTTTTTTTATGTGGAATTATTATGAGAATTGCTGTAATACCCTTAATAAGGCTACTTATAATTATTAGTGTGCTGTGCACCGGGGGTTTCGGAGGTTTATTTTTATACATTGATAGGACCCGGCCAAGAGCCGCTGAAGTCGAAAAACTTCCCTGACAAATACCGGACAACTCACGACACAGAACGCTTCAGCTTCATCGATTTTTATCGTTCTACGCCCCTGCATCGCCCAGTTGGGGCTTTTTTTCTTAGTTATATGAGTCGGATATTTTTTAATCTAACGACATTCACGTACAACCAGGCAAATCAGAGGCAATTTTGATTGAGCACTACTGTGAGCCAGCATAATCTTTTGAATCGCACCCCCATGACCTGTAGAGCGACCCCGTGTACAGGTGCACATAGGCTGAGCACACGCACCACGACGTGGTTTTGCGGTGCACAGAGAGAGAACGGCAGAAAAGGAAACTTGCGGGAAAGCTCAGAGAAAAAGAAAGCTTATTTATTACTTTTGGACCATGTTGTTGTTATAAGCCGTGAACTTTTCTACTTTACCGGGGTATTCAACCATGTATATGTTTTTGCTTGTTGCTCAATTCAGTTGTAGGCGGAGAGCCACTTAATCAAAACCTCACCACCCTCCCAGGCTAATAGCTAGACGGAAAGAAAGGGTGTGCATCACGGCGAAGCTCAATTTTCATGGGACATGTTTCATTCAAGCAAAGAACAGACAGACACTGCCCCCTCCCCCCCTCCCTCCCCCATTCCAGCCCTTTAAACCCCGATGTTATTCACCAGTTGATTGAACCACTACATAGTTTACACGCGGCGCCGCCTCTTTGTAACATCTCACAAAATAAGAAAAAAAAAGTAGCGCTGCAATCAACTGTTCAAAATCAGCTATTTTGATGAAGCATTTATTGAATTTTCGTTGTTGAGTGGACTAACAGTATCTATAGTACCGCCACAGCACTTGTTCGAGGCTCATTATAATTGCCCTTCGGCCGGGCATAATGTCCCAGCGTGGCGCTTCATCAAGAGAAATCAAAGCATGCATGGGAACTAGAAGGAATTGACAAGTGTTATTGTTGATTCTTATCCGTCCGTAGCACAAAAGCTTATTTCGCAAAAATTACCCAATCTAAAAAGATCGGTCGATTTCGGTCAGAGAAAATAAGCCGAGCTCCTTTAAAAGATCGAGATATATATACGACCATAAAGTGAGCTCTCCATAGCGCGTCCGTAACACTAATAAGTATATCAGCTCCAGACGAGGTTCACATTTTCCGCCACTAGAAGAAACAACAGTCAGCTACACACCCATTAGGCACCGGGAAAGAAGTTAGCTCTTGAATATAGTTCCAAAGATAATTAATTATTCAAACGTCAGTCCAGAAGTGCGCTTTGTTTTACCATAGATCGGAGCGAAACTGACACTATACTTCGTTTTACCTTAAGAGGCAACCGACAGACGAGCTTAAGGGGCCAATCAAACAGAGCCAAAAGCACAAGTCACTGGGCCTTCTCTGTACATGATTGGTTCAGCGACGATAGAGCACGTACGGAAACATAACGAACATTGTGGTGGCGCGCTCTTTACGCTGCATGATTGGTACCATAAGCTCGGAACGTCGGCTGATGGAGCCAATCAAACAGCACCAAAAAGGCCACGTCAATGCTTTGTAGTGTTTGTGGCTGTATTATAGACTTCTTAACACCAATCCAGTCAAACTCAAAAATAAAACTGCACCGTGGGATTTTGTAGTTTCAACCTGAGCATATGTTTTCACCTGTCACCTCATTTTTTACCGCATAGGCACTAGACCATGGGCAACGTGGCTAATACACTCAGTTGAGGAACTCACCCTTGAAAACCGGTCGTTCGCGTCCGCCGAAACCAAACTAAATACGATAACAGCGCCACCGTTTAGAGACTAGCCAAAACATGAAAGTTTATTTACATTGCTACTGCGAAATGGCAATGCGCGATGGCGCCACAGGCCTAGCGCGACTCGACCTAAACCGATACATGCAGAAATGCAGTTCCCGGAGTGGCCGCTGCGGTAGAAATGGTGGCGTTGTGATCGACATTATACTCTATTTCACCTTATGATGTACCGCAGAAAAGGCTGCAAGCCCGAGGTCCTTGCTTTAGGGCACAGTCTCGGTGGCACAAGCTCTTGTGCATTAAGGGCAGCTGCCAAGCTATGAGCTCGCGCCTCTAGCCTTCGCCGCGGTACAACATAAGGTGAAACGGAGTATAGTTTAAGGTGCCTCTATCCTGGGAAAAGTGGCGCCATCCATTGTTGTGGAAATGCTTGAGACACGTGCCGCGCGCGACTTCTGGGAAGAACATAGCATCCGAAGTCTAGCACAGTGCCAACGTTGCTCAGTGCTGTGCTGTGCCGCCATGATCTTCCCAAAGGCTGCGAGTTGCACGTGCCTCGTGCATCGACGCATCTTGCGCTACTTCTCTTTTACATTAGTTCGGTTCTCGAGTACGGATCGAAGCCACTTTTCTAAAGTAGGCTCTAAGGCAGTTTCCCAACGGAGTTCTTCTAGTAACGTTGACCATAGGTAGAGGTGGTTTATTTCCATTTCAACACGTAGTGCACTGCTTTCTGGGCAATTGTTCGTCAGTAACAACAAAGGTAATAGAAAAGGCGATGTCAGCCCTCTCCGTCCGTTTTCGATTGGGAATGCACAGTTGCGGACGACATAAACAAAAGGTCAAGCGAGCGCGTGGCTCAGAAGAGAAGAGAGTTGAGCAATTATCGGGGCTATTCTGTGCACGAGCGGCATTTCAGCGGCTGTTCGACTTTTTTTTTTGTAACTTCCTAATTAGTCGGCAAACTATTGTTGAGTCAACACAAATTCCGGCGCTGCTTTTTAATCAAGCTTGCGGCGTTTCAGCACGAAGGGTGAGAGCGAGGGATCGTAGAGTGTGGTGTGCAGAGCTTGGGCGTTGCGTGATAAGGTCGTAGAATAAACACACAAAAACAAAGTTTTTTGTTTTGTTTATTTTATAAAAATCTACTTATCGCTTTTTATCCCGCGAAAGTACTTTCAAACGCACGAACATTATAGCTCAACTTGCCAACCCAGTTATTTCAGCCGCGCTTGATTTCACCTTTTTTGGAGAAACTCCTTTACAATCAACGTTGACATTGACATTAACTCAGTGAAAGCTGGCTAATTCGAGAGTGACGACAAAAATGTTCTTTATAATGGTTGAGCTTTCCTCTTACAGAAAGCGCTGAAGGCCTTCTAAGCCACGCTTTCGCCAGGGCTTTTCCATATTGTCCACGTCTCTGTTCGTCCTTCTCATAAAAAGGGAGTAAAAAAAAACAATTCGAAGT